ACATACACACACACACACACACACACACACACACATATATATATATATATATATATATATATATATTAGTGATGTCAAAATTAGCACGTTAACGCAGGCGATAATTTTTTTTAGTTTAACGCGTAAAAAATATTTAACGCAATTAACGCGGGGCGGGGCTAGGGTTGGCCACCCCACTCACAACTGCCGCTTCTGTCACTTTTTCTCTTGACAAGAAGTGCATTTATTTAGTCGCAGAACGACTGAAAACGGGAGACATTTCATACGCGCGCTCCGCTTCACTTCAGCGCCAGGTGAGCGCGGAAAAAAAACCACGGCTCTTCAATTGCACTCACAAATGCGCCACTAATGCGCCACAAATGCGCGCTGTAGCCTGTATCCTTTCATATCAAAGCGCGAAATAAACTACGTGCATGCAATGTAGTGGTCAGTTAAGTCATGAAGTTACCAAAAAGGCGATTAAAGATGCCTTAAAACTGTGCATGCATGTAATATATTTTATATGAGTCATATTTAAGAACATGTCTCTGAAATGGTTTTCAAAACTGTCCTGGAGCAGCCCAGCACTGTCTCCCTCATCTAACACACCCGATTTAACTCGTCAGCTCATTAATAGAGACCTTAAGACCTGAAGTGGGTCAGAAAAGGTAAAAAGATTGTTTTAAGTTAACTTAAATTAGAACTTACAATATAAAAGTATATTTAAAAACTTAATATTAGGTAGGATTAATCACGATTAATTTCAGAAAAATGTGCGATTAATTAGTTGATTTTTTTTTAATCGACTGACAGCACTAATATATATATATATATATATCGTTAGCTCATTAATTGAGACTTTAAGATCTGAAGTGGGTCAGAAAAGGAAAAAAGAGTTGGGTTTATAATGGGTTTATATGAAGATTGTTTTAAGTTCACTTAAATTAGAAGTATTTTTTAAAGTCTAATAAATGTTAAAATTGATAGCTCTGAATTATACTGTAATGTTGAATGGCTAGTCATGTTGAATAGCCAATGGTTAAATATTAGGGGGTGGGGGGGCAATTTTATATTGGTATCATCGATAATGGCTTTCAGTCATAAAAAAAGATGCCATTAAACAAATATTAAAAAAT